ATTCCCCCAGATCCTGATGAGCACCCCTGATAAATTTATAGATGGCCACCAGATCGTCCCTGAGCCCATATCTTGGATGCCAGTGAGGATAAAGTGTAGGAAGGGAAAGGAAGTGCTACATTAGTGTTTGCCTAACTGTGGGGTGTGCAACAGAGTTGCTAAAGGAATGGCATGGTAGGTACATATACTAATGTGGGTAGACCTTTAATAACATAGGGTGAGATGGGATGGAGAGGTCTGGCTGAGAAAGTGTTACCAGGTTTCATTTTCCTAAAAGCACTCATCTTTCAAACTTTTGTGGAACTTCAGAGAAAGGGAAGAAGGGGGAAAGGGGCTATGCCAGTGGGGTTTGAATTGTAGGATAGAGGAATGTCCTCTTTGACATAAAAAAAGCTTTTCTCTAATAGGATGCATTTTTTAAAGTTAATCTGTCCCTGTCTAATTCTTCTCCTCTCTTCTTTTTCTCTGTTCTGTTTCTTCTTCTTCTAGTGATCTTTTCTTCTTTTCCTTTGGCTGTGCTTCTCTTTTGCACCTCTGCTTAGCCTTTCAAAACCTGCAGCTCATATCCTGCTTCCCCCTGATATTCCCCTTATGTGAATATGATTATTGGACAGCTCTACCGAGCATAGCATCACTTTAAGGCAGAAAGAAATGCTGCCTCTAAACTGCACACTTCCTGAGATGCAGGGAGCACCAAAGAACACTTCTGCCGCCTCCTGATACACAAAACTAGGACTGGCAACATGACTGGAACAGGAAGAGCAAAAGGTTTCCTGTGCAGTCTGCTTTGCTTCAGCCCAAAAAAACCCACCAAGAAGCTGCCTTCTATTTTCCATTAGTGATGGTTTCCTTGGATTCATTCACATTGGCCCTTTCAAAAGCTGGTGGAGAAATATAGCTCCCAGAGTGGCTCATTTGGTTTTTAATGCAGCAAACAATGTGAATGGGACACTGCCTGGCTCTGCCAGTTTAAAAACTTTTATGCTGATGGAGACATTTTTCAAAACATAGAAAAGTGACAAAACATGCAAGGGACAGTGCTGGCGGGGGCGGGTGCTGGAACTTTTGGTATCTACTCCAGGCTGTTTAGATAACGTTCTTATTCCCCTCTCCAGTTTAAGAACTGAAAGTGCTGGATCCTCACAGATTTGAGTCAATATGCTTAATCTGTTTGTAAAGAAAGGGTGTGGGTTAATGCATGGGGGAGGGGTGTGGAAAAGCATAGATTTCCCTTATTGTCCGCTAGATGTCAGCATAGAACATGCTATACCTGCCTCCTGCTTCTAGCATCCATTTCAGTTTCATATGCTGAACCTGGGGGTCAGAGTGATGCTGTGGGACAGAGGTTCTCCAGATGCAAGTTGCAGATGAAGAGTTGTGCGTGCAGCTCAGTGGCAAAACTTCCTAACTGCTATCCTCTCCTTAATCCCTTAGTACTTTCTCCAGAGGAGCATGCTGTGAGCAGCTATCGTGCATCCCAGAGGCAGGAAGTCTAATGCTAAAAGGAGTAGATTGTCATGATGAGATGAAAATACAAGGATTCAGTTGTTCAAAGAACTGTATATAAAAGCACATGAGACATTCAGTGGAAGTGGTTCTGGTTGATTTCTGGTAGCAGTGGTGAGCTTCACCTTCTTTTAGACATGCTTTAGGAGAGATAAAGCATTTAGAACTAGAGTGTGCTTATGATCTCTGATTCTGTAGCTGTTCTGTGTGCTCTCCTCTTGTGACGGGAGCCAGCAAGAGGGCCATTAAACCTGGAAGTCTGGCATGTATTGGCAACCTAATGTGACATACTTGGATATTGTAAATGAGTTTTCACTTTTAATCCCTCTGGAGCTACTAAAAGTCTTCAGAGTTGGCCACAGCCATGGCAGCAGTTCTGTTCTGACAGCAATTAATGTCAGTGCTCACCCTCACCACAGTGATTCTGGATGTCCATCCTGAGCAGGCCTTAACTGTTTTGTTTTCTCATTTTTCTAGATCACAGGAGTTATTCTTCTTGCTGTTGGAGTCTGGGGGAAGCTCACTTTAGGCACTTATATCTCGCTCATTGCTGAAAACTCTACCAATGCCCCCTATGTGCTTATTGGGACTGGTACCACAATTATTGTCTTTGGGCTGTTCGGATGTTTTGCTACTTGCCGCGGAAGCCCATGGATGCTGAAACTGGTACGTATGTGAAAGTAGCTACCACACTGCAATTTGGTGTTGTCTATATCAGTGCACTTTTCTTAAGCCTAAGTAGATGTTAATTGTGTTTGTGGCAAACAGGAAAGCTTTTATGCCTTAATAATATTCCCCAAGTCTCTTGAGAACAAAGAAAAAAAAATCCCCAAGATATTTTCACTAAATCCAGTCACTAGTTGAGTGTTAATGACTCGGTCTTCTCTGCAGTATGCAGAACTCCAACAACCAAAGCACTGCTGGTGAATCAAACATGTTATTACTGCATTTTAAAAGTTAAAAATGGTATAATGGAATGTCTAGGGCAGGGGTGCTCAACCCGTGGGTTGCAGGTCAGATCCAGCCCCCAGCACCATATCATCCTGTCTGTGAGGCTCCCTATGAGTTATGGCCCTATAGACTAGGTTGGGTGCACTGTAAGCTAGGTTGGTGCATGTGGCCACAACAAGGCCCTTGGAGCCTGAGTTCTGCACATGGGAGTGGGTGGGAGCAGCATGGGGCCCCCAAAATCCAATTCCAGTGTGCAGGACTGGGCAGGGGCAGTGCAGGGACTGGGACCCCATCCTGGTGCTCAGGATCAAATCCAACCCACAGACAGTCCCCATGCCTGTTATCTGGCCTGTAGGCCCAAACTGGTTGAGCACCACTAGTCTAAGAGATTCCACTTGAACTAGCACATACTAGTGTTTCACTTCTGGCATTCTGTATGTATGCCTGTAAAACCAGGTCAGCATTACTAAGACAGTCTTCCTCCTGTATGTTTGGAGAGGTGCATTGAACCAGTTGTAGGGAGATAGTTCAGGTTAGGTTTTGAGATTTCCAGTGTATTTCAGAATGTAAGGCAGGGTGACAAACTGACCCCTGGCCCCAGGCTGGATCCACATCACATCCCAGGTGAAATCCATGGAGCTGCATTTGGGAGGCAGTGTGTGTCCAGGCTAGATGGCAGTATGAGTCTAGGGGTATGCATTTGCACAGAGCTCCATTTATGCAGCATGGAGATGGGGGAATGAGTCTGCAAGGAGCCAGAGGTATGCACCACTGCATGCCCCTGTGCTTCATGAATGGAGCTCTGTGCAGTGGCGCTAAGCCATATTCTGACAGAGCTCTAAGCCATTGCATGTTCCTGGCTCCTCAGAGATGCATGCCCCCTTCTTTGCACTGCATAAACTTGGCTACATGCAGCCGCACACCCCCTAGCCTATTCTGCCACATGCCCCTGGCACTGCCAGCTGGCCAGAGCTCTGCACTACCAAGGGGCCATGCACTTCTGGTAGCCCACCATGCTACTGGTGGGACAGATGCTATCTGTGGTTGCGTGGAATAAATCTGGCCTGTGGGCCATATGTTTGACATCTCTCATATGAGGAAAGTTTTGGCAATGGAAAAAAATACACAGATGAGTTAAAGAACCATGTGGTATATATAGGGACATTGTGGGCAATAAAGTACATGTCATGAGGAAAAATACTTAGAGCCAAATGATGTATGCAATGGAAGAGGGGCAAAATGACTTCTATTGTAATATTTCCTTAAAGCAGTGATTCTCAACCTTTTTAGACCCTAGGCATCCTTCTGTAGCTGTCTAGAATTTAGTGCCACCCCTTTCAAAAGTAGGATCTATGCACAGTGCATGAGGGCTGCTGTGGGGATCAGAGGGGCATGTTGGTACATGACTGGATGCACAAGTTCCAGGAGGGAAAGGCCAAGGGTTATGTGTGATGCTCAGTCCTGACTGACCCAGGAGCCAATCCAGAGTGTGTGCAAGGAACTGTGGGATGAGCTGGGTGAAAAGCCTGGCCCCAGTTCCCTCGCCCACCCGTGGCAGAACACTCTGCTCAGAGAGGTGTCGAGGCCAGCACAGAAGTTGCGGAGGGCCATGGCAGGAGCCACAGGAGTCCTCAGAGGAGCAGCTGCAGGCACTGCTTGTCTGCAGGATTTTGGGCAGGTGCCTGGCACCCTCTTTTCACAGGGGCCCGATGATTGTGGCACTCACTTCATGTCAGAAAAGTCCATTTGGCATTGTTTTCTTCTCTTTTTTTGTTTTTTCTGTCTAAAAAAGTTGATTCTGGGGCTAAACTGAAGCCTCTCTTCTGTTCCTAAGCTTTGGTAGAGATTCCAAATACAGACATAGGGCCTGATTCAGTGAAATCTTACATCAGGGGTCGGCAACCCCCAGCACACATGCCAGAGTTTGCCATGTGAGGCCATTTTGCTCAGTACGCCACAGCCGGCCGGGAGTACTGCTGCTCCCATGGAATCTGGGCTGCTCACAGCAGGCAGCCAGGAGGCTGCAAACAGCTGCACCAGCATCTGGAGCCTTGACTGTTCTACAGCAGCGGCAGCTACATGTATGCCTTGGGGTGTACGGCTGGGAAGGGGCCTGCGGCACTGTCACCCTGGCCCTTCCCTTGCCATCTGCCCAGAGACGCACGTGCGCCTACTACCAGCAGCGAGGATCAGGCCGCTCATGGATTCCCCACCATCTGCCTTTGGCATACGAAGTCGAAGTATGGGTAGAAGTTGGGGTGGTTTTAGCATTCCGGCCAAAAACATTTCCAATCCCTGTCTTATATGCTAACGTATTCCCAGCAGGTAGTTGAATGATTTGCATGTACATACTCTAATACTTAGTCAGGTGCTAGCTCCTATCCTACAAGGAGATGATTGCAAGTGACCCATCTACCTCCACAGTGTCCCATTGTTCTCAGTAGGATTCTGCATGAATGCAAGGTTGTGCTTTCACACAATACACTGCAGAATCAAGACTAGTGATTTGAGACCTGTCTCCTTGCATAGTGTGTGTGTGTGCACAGATGTGCATGTAACACACATGTGAATATCAAGAATTGTGTACTTACCATACTTATTCAATTCTTTAACATGGGGAAAACCCTTGTCTTAGAATCGAGTACAAGGGCAGTGGCGAGGGGCAGGCAGCTGCTGTGGCTTGAGCTCCAGTTTGTACCCAGGGTCAGGGCCATAGGCACAGCTGCTGCCTGCCCTCACTCCCACTGCCTCTGCACCTGCCGCCTCCGTCCTGCAGCCTCTTCCCCCTATCTTCTCCCCCACAATGCAGCTTCTGTTCTTCTACCTGCCCCTCTTCCTCCCATCCTTACCTTTGCTCCATGGTAGCTAGCTCTGCATGCTGTTGCCTGGGGAACTGAGCCCA